TCCTAAAACCCCAAATAAGTTTCAAATGTACATGTTTAGCCCCTTTTTTGGAAGTAAATTACGAGATCAGTCCCTAGTTGTATGATTTGTAAAATCAAACCCTAGACTCTAATTATTTTTCACAAAGACCGCCATATACTTAATAATTAATACCCCTTTTCAATATTTTAATTATTGGGGTGGGGTGGGTGGGGGGGGGGGGGGGGGAATACATGTGCCTATATATTTTGTTTATACAAATATATTTTCCTTTATGCGAATATAAAATAAATCTATTTTATAAAATAGTTATTTAAAAATTTAACATATTGTTACGAATAACTAATATAAACTTTTCGTATACATATTATGGAATTTTTATCGTGAAATAACTAGTCCATACGACGAATATTACATGATACAAAAATATATGATTTTTATGCGATATTGTATATTATGACAAGCACCATATAACAATTTATAGTATTTCAATGATGCAAGCTATTACTATTCATGTATATTTATATGTTTATATGCATAAAGTTTATAAATATACATATGTTCATTAATTTGAAACATTCATTTTCATAAAAGCGAGCACATTACACCTTTAGATATATGTCAAACACACTCGGCTATTATAAACTTTATACAATGATATTCATTACGCCAAGAACTTACCCACAAGTAAGTTAGGGCTGGGAGATATTCATAAAATTTCTATTTAAGGCTTTTTAGTGAAACTCAACGTTATTCATTAGCTGAGTCTAAACACTTAGCATACCCAAACTACTATAATCGCTAATCTTCAGAGCAAGATACATATGGGAAAAGGGAATATACTTTACAGCCCCACCTAAGCTTAGGTACTAAACCTCTTGAAAATACATTGTTTTTAATATATAAAGATTACGGTTAATGGATTCACGATTAATACTTCAAGATGTAAATTCAAGATCGACACACTAGGGTTTTGGGTTTAGAGTTTAGGGTTTAGGGTTTAGGGTTTAGGGTTAAGGTTTAGGGTTTAGGGTTTAGGGTTTAGGGTTTAGGGTTTAGGGTTAGGGTTCAGGGTTTAGGGTTTAGTGTTTAGATTTAGGGTTTAGGGTTTAGCTTTAGTGTTTAGGGTTTAAATTTAGGGTTTAGGGTTTAGTAATGTTCACTTGGATGAAGTAATAAACGATAATTGAGGAAAGAAAACGAAGATGATAAAACAATAATGAAAGAAAGAAATGTTATGGAGAATGATATATTTACCAAGTGAAACCAAACCGGGTATATTTAGCATGTTAAAACGACATATTTTAGAGGTTTAGTACCTAAGCTTAGGTGAGGCTGTAATGTATATTCCCTATCCCATATATATATATATATATATATATATATATATATATATATATATTTATATATATATATATATATATATATATATATATATATATATATATATATATATATATATATATATATATATATCACTACAACCATGGGCTTTGTTGCTTTCAAATCTATTTTAAGTATGGATTTACTTATATAAAAGATACATTTTGGTTTTCATGAACTCGTTACAAACACAGTTGTAAGTACATATTTACTTGTACAAATATACATTTTGGCTTTCAAAGACTCATTACAAACACAATTTTAAGTACATATTTACTTATACAAAAATACATTTTGGTGTTCAAAGACTCTTTGCAAACACAATACTAACTATTTTTATACATACAAAGATAATACTTTTTAGTCTTTATAAAAGTATTACTACAAGTCCTACCCGCGCGCAGGGGGTATAAATCTTGGATTTTGTAGACCAAAAACACTGAACTTGTGCATGAGCGCGACCTGCGGACACGAATCCAACTCCGAAAACTCGGGCTCGCGTTACCCTTGTTATTGCTAAACTTGACAGTTTTGGTCCTTATTTTGAATCGTGTAACGGATGCATTAATTATGTAATTAACGACATTTATTAGCATTCAATGCTCAATTAATTCCTTAATATCGAATTGATTTGTTTCCATTACATATTCAACTATAAAATGAGACTTCTACCATCTCATTTGATATATGAATGAAAATACTCTTGTTCCTCCTCCTTCTTTGTACACCTGCTTCCGACGATTCTTTCAGCAAAGTGGAAATATCCGGCAGTACACAATATTACGGTTGTTGTACCCTGGGAACAGATGATGAATCTATTTAAGGGACTCGAGTCCAACTCAAGCCTTAGCCACCACGTTTACTACTAACCTTTTCCTTATAGGAATATTCAAGAAGAAAACAGTCCTTTTACTCTGACCGTCTTAAACAAATTTTTCTTTGTTCTAAATCTTTCATTTTATGTTCTTTTTATTCTATAACAATTGTGTATCGATTCTTTCCTGTAATCAATTTAACTGTGATTGCAATTCTTTCCAAATGATTGGAACTCCTGTTGTTGCTGCTACTTCTCTTGTGAATCAAAATGCACCTATTCCAAACATCATGATTAATTATGCTGTGAGTCCTGAAAAATTTTCTGGTCTGAACTTCGAGAGGTGGAAGCAGAAGTTGCTATTCTACTTGACCACTTTGAACTTGGCTCGACTCCTAACATAAACTATTAAGAAAAATTGATTATTGTTTATTATTTTCTTTTGATAAGAAGTACATATTAACGTATGATATTGGATGAAAGTTCCAATAATTAAAAAAAAAAATAGTAAATTTATAAATGATTAAAGATATATATTAAAATAAATAATAAGTTGTTATTAATTTTTTTTGACTATTCAATTCTTACTTTATATATCAAAAAAAAAATCCGAAATAAAAAATAATAATTTTGTTTAGCTTAAAATCAATAAAAAAAATCCAGATATTCCAAATAAATAGTTCAATTCAAATTGTACAATTGGACAATTTAATTTTAATCAAATAATATACATAATATACAGCCTAACAGTGATCTAATATAAGAATATTTTTGACAAGATATTTTTCAAGTTTCATCAAGAATCTTAATTTAATTTTAACAATCTAATATAACAATATTTTTGAGAAGAGATTTTTCGAGTTTCATCATAAATCTCATCAATCCGGCAAATTTTGCCAAAATGTTTCTAGAAATTCTTCTACTTTATACACAATAACAAATTTGCAGGCGGACGAAATAGAGATAAAAGATCCAAATAAGGGACACGTGGAATGTACCCAAAACCAAGCAAGAATGTGTATAGCTATGGGAAGTAAAATCAATGAGAATTTCAAATTTAAAAATAAAAAGGGTACAAGATGCTTTTAAATTCCACTCATGGTCTATGTAAATTAAGCATAAACATACAAAAACCCTCGTTGCTTTGTAAAATTTGATTTCCGGTTATTATTATGTCTATTCTACCATGGATTTGAGTTGGGTGTAATTTTTTTTTGATTTCGATGTTGTTCTTGAATCTTGATCATTAAGTCATGGATGATATTGATAATAGTTAGATGCTTGAACTTAATTTCGAAGATAATGGGTATCCATCCATCATCAATAGAAATATATAAACAAATTATTGAAGAATTGAAAAAAAAAATGTTTACCAAGATAAGTGCAATATAATCCATTTATTTTTTCTTTTCAATTGTAATAATTTTGAAAATATAAAATAGAATTATCAAATATTAAAAACTATTAAAAATATATTTGAACAAATTTGATATTTTAAATGATTACGAAGGATAGATATGATATTTAGATATTATAAATTTGTCGAAATTTCATAAGAATATATACAAAATTCTGCATTTTGTACCATCTTTTGGTTTTGAGATTTGTTTTGATCTAATAATTAAGAAGTATTTTTTTATGAATATTTTATCAAAAACATTAAATGAAAAAAAAAATTAATTTAATTTTCACAATAAATAACTTTTTCACTCTACTTAGTTATGCGATCTATTATTTTTGTTTTATTTATTTCATTGTTATATAAGGAGTCAATTTTCAATGGTAATAAACCCCCATATGTTATGGGACTAAAAATTTAGTAAAAAACAAGAAAAGTTATTCGGTACCAATTTTGTTGTAAAAAGAAAAAGAAGTAAAAATAATAATTACAATTATAAATAACTATTCTTATAATAATAGTTTTCATCATGAATATTATATGCAATGTTTTAAAAATCGGTTTGAACGGACGAGTCGAACCGGAAACAGGAGAAGGGAGCGGTTCAGCTAGCACCTGTTTTATATTTATTTAAACCGGTCGGTTTTAAAAAAAATCTGGTTCAACCGGTTAAACTAAATAAAAAAAACATGAAAATGAATCATTTTCTTAATAAATTGTATTTTTTTTCATATCTATTTAGATTTTTTTTGTTTAAAAACAATAGTAAATATTATAAATTTTTTTAATGCGTTCTTATTTATTTAAAACTATATTTTGTTTCCATGTTATATTTTATTTTAGTTTTGATGTTATAGTCATGTGTTTTTAAACTTGTGGATATATATATATGTTTGCATGAAAATAGGAAAAAATATTAAAATTATAAAAACCGGTTAAACTGACGGTCGAACCAGTTGAATTGTAAACCCGTCAAAATTTTCCAAAAAGGTGTTTTCCAAAATGATGTTATTATAATAATAATAATATTTCCAAAATTTTAGAACTTCAATAATATTCTTTTAAAATTTTCACAAATGGTGTTTATCAATTATCATATATATATAATGTCTTATGATTTTTATTGTTTTCTTTCATTTTTTCATTTATACTTTTGGACCTCTAAAATATAGCCAGAAAATTTTATTTCTATTCTATTTGCTTTTCATTTTGTTTGCGCATCCTCTAGCGTACATCAACGGTTTGCAGTTTGCACCACCTCCACAATTTGTAATCGAAAAAAGATCAACTGTCATCAGTCAACAACAATGAAGTTGAATATATGAATTTTTGACTTTGAAAAAAAAAAATAGATGAACGAGTTACAGAGAATCAACAACCAGATTCCACAAGTCATCATAAACTTATAAGATGAAAAATCATTTACGCAAACTAAAATAAACTCTTCATTTCAATTATCAAGGAAATCTCTTTAGGATTAATATCGCATCTTACAACTAAAAATATTCCAACATTTCACCAAAACAGAGTACATAGATTTATATACTCCCATCGGCTACTAAAAAAATACTACCACTTACACACTCATCGACTAAAACAATGATTAATCAAACTAGAAAACAAATGCGATCATCATATCATGCAGCCATTTGAGGTGAGAACGAATCAGCAGAAAGCAATGGCAGCTTATTATCCAACGAACTGAATGGAATCTTGTTTTCCAATGAATTGTTGTTCAAATTCAAATTCCCTTTTTTTGCAACATCACTCTTATCTTTCAAACTCAAGGGGCTGAAATTCTCCTTTGAATCGAAGAGAACTTTCGTCAGACTCTTCTTGTTTTCATCTGAATCTTCTGAAGTCTTCTTCATCGAAGGAAATGGAGTAGCAGAGTGTTGAGAAAGCTCCCTGTAATTCCCACAAAGTGTAAATATATTTTGAATACGCAAATGCCTAGATGCAGCTGTATCTTCTCCATTTTCAGATCCTGTTTCCATGGAATCAAGATTGAAAGCAGAAATAGGAATTGGATTCTTGACTTGATACACAGTCTTCTCCTCAATAACTTCTTTCTGCACTTCCTCCTCTTTTTCTTCTTCCTCTTCTTCTTCATCTTCCTCCAAAACAGTGCTCAAAAATGGCTTTCTTGTTGCATTTGGAGCATAAACATCATCATCATCATCATTATGTGTTTCATTCTTTAAATTCTCCATAAATGGATAACCCAAGATAGCTTTTATACTAGTTTTATGATCCATGGATTTCTCCAAATCCATGGATTTATCCAAATCCATGGATTTCTCCATTCCTGGATCCTCACCAGCATACATTTCCATCAACTTTTTCGCAAAACTGCTTCCTTCTGTTGAACTTGAAACATTTCCATTTCCGTTCGACCGAGTCAACTCAGTCTCGATCTCCTCCAAACGCCTTCTCAGCATCTCAAGCTCTTCCTGTTGTTGTAAAATCTTCTCTTCCATCTTTCTCCTTTCCATTTCAACAACTTCATCAGCCATTTTCTTACACTCTTCTATCTTCTTCTCCAATTCACTTCTCAACATGTTCGTTCTTTCCTGAACTTTCATGTTAATTTCCTCTTCAGCGTTCTTATCTTCAGCCTCTGAAAGCTTAGCTCTCAGAGTCGCAATCTCTTCTTCTTTCTTCATAAGTTGTTTGTGAGCTTCCATCTTTTCTTTCTCTCGAACTTTATTCTCCATTTGCAGCTTGTGAATGAACTGATCCATGGCTGCAATCCTTGATCCCAAAATCACATCCGATGAAGAATCCTGACCATTTTTCTCCTTGATTGGTGTATGAACACCTCGAACAATGCATTTAGCTTTTGCACCATATTCCAATGTTGATATAGTCTTGTGTATTTCCTTCGGATCTGGACTCGCACATAATATCATAAGAATCTTGGATTTATCATCTTCAAATGAATCCTGTTTAAAAAGAAGAAACAAAATTAGTTGGCCCCACTAAAAACTATTAACATTTACGTTTTAACTTTTACGTTTACCTGTAAAAGCATGGTTAACTTGCTGTCTCTAAATGGAACATGAGAATCACCATTGGCAATGGATTCCACCACCCGTTTTAACGCTATATTACCCTGATTAATCTTCGCTGTCTTCAAGTTCAATAAAAAATTAAACATTTTTTAGTAACATTTTATAAATCGTTTTGAAGAAATGAAAAGGTTTAGTCAAATTGAAGATTACCTGCATTTTGGCTTCGAATCCAGTTTGACCAGCTTGTTCTATATTTTCCGATCCAGCCATGTCAACAAGCATAAGTCGTCCACCAACAGTTGGGACATCAAGAATTATCTGAACCAATTTGATACAAATTTAGTTGAAGAAATAAAAATTTGTAAGAAAGAAAAGTTGTAAAGGAATAAAATTTCAAATCAAACCATGCAGTGACTCCTGGAGCTTCTTTCATTGCAAAATGTGCTTTTGATAATTCTACGTTTCTCAACCTTCTGGATCTCTTTGGATATCTTTCCTGCTTCAGTTCCAGAGATGAAAGTCGCATTCTTTGCCTTCTTTCCCATAACTTCTAATTTTACCTATAGTTTCAAAAAGAACAACAATAACTTTGAAGATCTGAACCCTTTTGATGATCTATTTCATAAACATATTGTAATTCGAGAAATTTTGGAAGCATGAAAAGGTTTGGAATGTTTTTTTTTTACCTTTGACGCATTGCCTTTCGACCAGCCAATGTTGAATCCACCTTTACTATTGGTAGATAAGAGATCATAGATTTCCTCATTGTAAATCTCAAGAACAGTAACTTGCACGAACGTACCAACTCCGACCTTCTGTTGTTCATCATCGATCTCGTCATCTTCGTTTCCCAAAATATCACTTAAAGACTTGTACACAATCCCCTGCTGCTTATGGCTCCCGAACATAGTATGACTCTTTCCCGAACCAGTAGGGCCATACATCATGATTGTACATTTATCGCCCAATTTGACACCATTGATTCTGGGTTGAACGAAATTTCTGTAGAACCCCTCAAGATCTTGATCTTCGGAAACCCCATCGAGGGTGAAATCACGATACCCGATATCAGTTCTGACTCTAACAGAACGACCATCGGAGTTAACCTGCAAGGCCGAAATGGGTTTATCTTTGAGGTCCGGGTAGTCCCTAATCCGGCCGACAACTTCAACTGGGTGATCCGGATGTTGATGGGGTTCTTT